GGACGCGCACACACAGACGAACGTAAGTGAGCTTTTGAGGGGTGGAGGGAGGGAGGGTGGAGCGACGCGACGGCAAGTTTGAAGCCCGTTGTGCCTCAGAATCCGTACTTGGAATCCCTGGGCAGAGTTCAGGCTGCGCATTGACCGCACGAAATCCTGTGGCGTTCTCTCACCTTCCCGGGCGACCGGCGCGGCCGTCTGTCGCGACGACAGCGGCGACAGCCAGCGACACGACTTCAAAGAACTTCAATGGGACCGCGGACGGAGAGAGATCGGACGCGTCCTCGCCGCAATTCTCAGCGAATTCGCCTGATTCGATCCTCCTCTTGATAATCGCGTTACGCAATTGAGAAGCGATTAATCGTCCCTCGGAAGTGACATTACCGAGGACGTTAATTCTTGCTTCCCCTTCGTCTACCCCTCCAACTCCCGTCGCAAAAATGCGAAAATTCACTGCTTCCTCAAAATGTCGAAACAAAATTCCATTTTGAAAATGTTTAATCCTTTCATTACGAGCGCCGAATATATACGGCATCAACTGACGTATTTGTCACATATTAAAAATACGAGCTTTTTTACATTTTTTCTTCTTTTTTTTTTCTATTCGACGGCGAAGTATTTATACGATATATAAAAAATTATTGTGACAAAAAATTGTTCTTAATCTATTGCAATTCGGGAAAAATCAGCTATGGATTAATCTGTTAAACTGTTAATCTCTGAAAAATTTAAGATTAGATTTTTTTCTTGAAAGTTAAATTAAGTTTGTTTAAAGAAAAACATTCTAGGCCCTTGTCAAAGTGTTACCAGGAAATTCACAAAATTTAAGATTAGATTTTTGCTTGAAAAATTATAGTTTGTTTAAGGAAAAACATTCTAAGCCTTTGTCAAAATGTTGCCCAGAAAATTCAAAGAAGATTCTATTTCAAAACAGGTTAACGGACTCAAAAAATGATTCGATCGATGTGTACACTTTTGGCGTGGAACGGTTCGTAGCGAAAGGAATATTGTGTGCTCGAGAGAACAATTGTTAATTTAAAGAAAAGAAATATCTGGGATGGCTCGTCCTTTTCGTTTTCTCCCTTGGCAGAGGAAATGTTATTTCAGTATCCAGGGAAACGTATCCGCGCGTTTGCTTGACTCAGTTTTCGTAATTTAAAGAGATCAACAAGCACATCAGCGGAACTTTGAAAGTGAGTTTGGCTCGAGGCATCTTCAACGTCTCATCGTCCACTTTTCGCGATTATTGCGGCCCAATCGAAAGTAAAGCGGTGACGGCGTTCAACAATTTCGTCTGGAATATATTTTTCCCCGGGCCGATATAGCGTGTGTCGTTACACCGTCTCGGATCTCGGCAACGTCGTCGTCATTTTCTAGGCTAGACTAGTGCAGCCTCGGCGAGGGAGTGCACTCGTTAAAAACTTTTCACGGTATTCATTCGAATGCACTCCGTCAAAGTGCAACGAGCGAGGGTCAGAGGCGAGAACTCGGGCGAAAAGATGGCAGATTTTCCTGTCGTTCGTCGCGACGACGAGTCGGATTATCTCTCTCTCTCTCTCTCTCTCTCTCTCTACGTATCGTCGTTATTATCCTCGGTGTTTGGCTGCGTGCGCGTTTCCGCGAGGAAATCTTTTTCCAAGGCAAACACCGACGCGGAATAACGAAACGACGAAACGGAGTAGGGGTAACGTTTCCCGACGCAGGATGCTCAGGTGGCACTTCAATCTCGCTTTTCGCGCGAATCGTAATAGTCCTCTACCCTTTTGCCTTTCTCCAGAGAGAGAAAGAGAGAAAGAGAGAGAAAGAAAGAGAATACGCAACTGACGAGAGTAAACGACTCACAAAGTCGTAGTTACAATGGCCACACAGCCTCGTGTTTGACTTATGAAAACGAGGAGTCATCGTTTTCTCTTGATGTCGTGGGATCGCAATTAATTATCACGATATACCTTAATGCGTGCAACAAAAGGACGAGGCCCATTGTTTTCGTGCGTAACGCTCTCTCTAACCAAGTATTATTATACGTGCTTCACTGATTATATTCAAAAAGGCAACGCGACGCCTTTAACTACCATTAAAATACGGCCAAACATCTCGCCTGCATTAAACTCGGAAGCCGAAAAACTCTTGGGGCCTTCTCTCTTGGCCGTCGTCGGCCAACGCAAACAAAGCAAAGAAGAGGTAAACGCGCACGAACAGGAGAGAAAGAAGAAGAAAGGGGAAAAAAAGGTCGAAAGTGACCGGTTTTCCGTGATAAAAGGGAGAGGAATGCCAGAGGGCCGGCGCGGCGTTCGAACGAGAGGAGGAAGCTGCTGCGCAGCGTGTTCCTTTACGTCAGCTTGAACGCGGCCTTTTTTTCATCGCGCTCACGTTAAAGGTGCACCGAGAGAGAGCAGGGCGCAGCTGCGAGTGACGCGCGAGCGGACGAGCGGCCGCGGTTAGGACAGACTCTCGTTTCACGGAACTGAGGCGGCTTATTCGAATCGGCTAGCTGCTCTGTTTCTACGTACGTACGTACGTAGTGGCAACGCTCGACAACGGCAACTAGATTTTTATTGCGGGACCGATGGTGGTTTGTAGTTACGTGAAACGACGTGGAACGAGGGCCGATGCCACCTAACGTTTCAACAGCGTGTAGGTACCGTTCGAATCACGATGACGTCGTATACTGCCGCTTACGGTGTTATCGAGACACGCTTAATTAACGGCGAGGCACAAACCACAGCGAGGAATAAGCGGTGCCGGTGTCTTGGGGCCGGCTAATCGCGGCGCAAACGCCTAGGAAGAGATGCGGTGAGAAATTACCTGGATCCTTTAAAATCTACTATTCCCTCGTTCCTCGCCGAGGATGCTCCGAGGAATCCATCGTAGCGTGACCGGCGATTTTGTTCTCGTTTAAAACGAGAATACCTCCGGATCTTTTACGGTAATGGAAAGCATTCGAGATACCGTAAAATCGGCGTTTCTTCGTGCCGTCCGAACCGCCCCGCCGTTTTTACGGCCCGACACTCTTCTAATGTATGTACACTGCTGTCGAATCGGTGTCGATAGGCCTCGAGTTAACTTATTACGACTCCCAACTCTCGTTTGTCCTTTGTTTTTCGATTCAACCGTGACTTGGGAGGGGAAAATTGTCTTCGCGTAAAAACGTTATTAAACGTAACGAGTCGATGTCGATCGCGTAGTTATATGGTGCAGCTTCTTCTTCGTAGAAGGATATACGCCCTCGGCGGGCTATCTGCTTGAAACTTTTGGTATTCGTGTTTGTTGCGTTATACCGAAAGCAAGAAACCTGGCGTCGACTCGCTGCTTCGACGGAAGTCCTAACAGCGGTCTAAAATGGCATTGTAGCGCGTCGGTATGGAACTAAATGAACTCACGACGGGGCTTTCACGGACAGAGTTATTACAGCCCTTCTCCCCGGCTATAGTACTCCTCTCGTCGTTGCCCCCGTGCTAGCTCTCTTGGTCCGTTCTCCGGAGTACTTTCTCGCCGCCTTTTTCCTTTTTTTAGAACACACCGTTCGTGCCCTTCGTCACCTAACCTGAACGCCATAGCTGACCGGTATTGTAGCAGATCTACCATTCCTCCGTCTAAATAAGCGTTTTACGACCCTTTCCTCTTCTGCCCGTTGGCCTTCTTTCGCTCATCAGCTCTTTTTATCTCGCTCCAATATCTTCTGCGTCTTGGTTGCGCAACAGTCACAGTTATTGATGTCAGATATTGACGTGGAGATACAACGAAATATCCATGTTTATACGTACTACTTACGATGAAGTCACTTTGTTATTTCATTTTTCTTTAATCCAAAATAATCATCGCACCAGTGTTCTTCATCTGCAGCCTTTTACTTCGCGCTTTTAAAACCCGTGTAAAACGTCCGCGAGAACATCCCCAGACAGAATATACACTTGAAGCATTTTCGCGGCCATTAAACCGAGTCATGGGCTGCCGTTGCGGAAAGAAAAGCAAACCATGCCCCGGAAGAACGCGTCGCTACCAGACGCGTGTCACGAGAGGAGAAGGAGCAGCAGCAAAAACGAGAGGACTTTCCTTCGAAGAAAGTCGCGCCCGTAAATTCGCTAATTTGCTTTCAAAGGCGACTTCCCGCCGGTAAATTTTCCGCGGAATAAATCCCCATGGCAGCGAATAAATGGGGGCAAGATTGACAAAGAGTCGTGGCCTGAGCTCGAGCCGGCTATCTCTCGACCTCTTGTCAGTCGATCCTGCGAACCGTACGGCAACAACCGACGCTTCTCTCTCTCTCTCTCTCTCTCTTTTTGTCGACGATGTCTCATTGTTCACGTTGCCTGTATACGTCTATACACCGGTGTCCTTTATCTTAATTCCATTACACTTGGCAACGCGACACGGCCCAGCCAACTGCGTGCCGGTAATGCACCCTCTGACTCGGCTTGCCCGGCAACAACCACCGAGCCACCCTTCTTCAACCGACTCGTCACTGTTATTTCGTGCAAGCTACTTTGACGTGTCCTTGACTCTCGCCGCTTGGAAATCCCGATCCCCGTTCTCTCGACTCTCGGCTCCTTATTCATTCGCGGTAATTCAACCCCTTCCCTTTCTCCGAAGTCTATCGCCAAAGGGGAGATGCAGGAGGTCAGATGGGGTTCTTGGTGTTATTTCTTTCGAACGGTCGTCGTGACTCTGGTATTTTATGCGTTTTCTCATTGTCCGATGATCGTGGCGGCTAATTAGACCCTCGCTGCGTACGATCCTTTCAGATCGAAATGAAGCACGGCTGTTGGCGTGAAGGGTAGTTTTCGCTTGTCTTGGCCAGCTGGCTTTCATCGAGTTTTTTCTATTGAAAAGCAAGAAACTATTTTTGTGCAGAAGAAATAAATGAAAGTTGTTGTATTCGAAAGAGACAGGCGTCTCTTATCAGTGTGATTCTTTACTTGTCGACGATTCGAAACGATCGAAGACGAATTAAATAAACGTTGCTGAACAAACTGAGGATCATGTTTCAATTTCTGTTACAGATAGGTACGACACCGCATACGCCTGCGAGGGCAAGATCTTGCGGATCGAGTGCGGCGAGGGGAAGCTAATCCACCTTATAAGAGCGAACTACGGAAGGTTCTCGATAACGATATGCAACGAGCACGGGAACACCGACTGGAGCGTAAACTGCATGTCACCGAAATCCTTCCGAGTGTTGAACAGCGAGTAAGTATCCCGATGATCGACGTTCTTGCATTCTACGTACACAACCGATTCTGAACAATCAACCTGTCCCCTACACCTTCTATTCTGCGAATCGCGTCGAGGAATCACGATGGCGACGTCGAGTCGAATCCGTTCTGGAATCAACTTCGTTATGATGTTATCGGGAAGAGAAAAAAAACAGGGAAAGTAAGGGAAGAAAAAAGGGGAAAGGAAAGAGAGAAAAATGAGAACTCGGCTCAGGCTGCCAAGCATTTCCTATCCTTAATGAATCGACTAGCACCAATTAAAGGAGACGTCCGATCCGATCGAGCGTAGATCGCGCTTGTCACTTGGTCCCCGGGTTATCGAACGATCCGACTTTCCACGTGGATCGGTATCTACACCGGCGAAGCTTTTACGACCGCTTCGTAAGCGAGAGATATCCAGCATGACACCTGAGAGTCTAGCTGGTTCCCTTCGCGGTAACGAGAAACGCTTCCTGAACTGAACGGTGTGTGTCGTGCGCGCGTGTCCGTGTGTACATATCGATCATAGTCTTTCGACGACCTTGGACGAGGGGAAGGGAAGGAGAGACTCATCTGTACGATCTATCCGATCTATCCGAGTGAATCTCGATCCGATCTCGACAGCCAGAGTTACGCGCGCGCAATTCGACGATTTCGATCGGTTCACCCGGCAGTGAAAAATTATTAACCGTTCGGGCATGCGGAAATTCGACTCGTCGTCGATTTCGCACGGAGAGGAGATGCTCGTGGCGTGGAGATGTGTTTTCTCGATCGCTTGAAATTTTTCTTTTAACGCGTCTCTCGCGCGCGCGGTCCAATTCAAACCGTGTTCGCGGGTAAAATGTTCGAACGATCGCGGAAGAAGATAAAAATGCAAACTTCGACGCGAAATTTGAGGTCATTGTAATATAATATAATTCTGAACGGATACGAGCACGACGCGAGAGCCATCAGTTTCCTCGACGCTTTTGCCATCCCTGTCCGCCCACGGAAATGGAGCAAAGAGCATGGAGTCGAAATCGCGAGGAAATAAACGGGGTGGTAAAGAATGGGGGTGAAGGGAGGGAGGGGGGAAGGAGGATATACCCAGGGAAGAAGGAAAATGAGGAAGGAGTGGAGACGGCTTCATATGGTCCGGCGAACTGGCCAATTGCTTGACCATTGAAGAGCGTATTTCGCGGCGGATCAGAGCGGTAGGAAGAATCGCAAACTCAGCGGTCGCTTCTCTATCTCGGTCCTCGTGAACATCCCCTCTATTTCCTTTGGTCTTCGTGTCTCTGTATCCTCCAACGTCACGAACACGTACGGGCAAGCAAGCATACATACATACGTACGTACATACACGAACATGCGCGTTTCACGCGCAATTTCCACGTGTCACAAGATTCCATATTCCAAGACACCCAACTGTCCCTGCGGACAATAGTCAAAAACTGTCCTTTTTCTACTTTCTCGTTTTTTTTTTTTTTTACTTCCTTTGTTCTCTCTTTTATTGTTTGAACGACACGCGGAGAAATCAGAAGTCTGTCGCGTTCGTTGATTTAGACGGAAGAGCAGAAAGTAAAGGGAAACGAGACAAGAGAGAAAGATATATATATATATATATATATATATATATATAGAGAGAGAGAGAGAGAGAGAGAGAGGAGAGACAAAGAAGGGAAACGGTGACGTAAAAATTTCGCTGATTTCGCGCGACACGCGTTTCGTCATTGTGATTAATAGTTCCTAGCCAGCGGAAATTAGTTTCACGGGAAACTAAAGAAGGGAAACGTGACTCCTGGGCTCTACGTCTCACGACGGTCACGACCGTCAACGTACCGGTAGTGCGAATAATTGGGAAAGATAATCGCGATGACGAATCGAAATCGTATCCATTAGCGTTATCGTCGCTCTGTGAGTGGTAGCTGCGAGCAAACTAGATCCCCATTGTTGATTACGCTGGTGAAACCGAAGAAAAAGAAGAAGAAGAAGAAGAAGAAGAAGAAGAGGAAACCAACGACGATGAAGAGGAGGAAGAAGAAGAAGAAGAAGAAGAAGAAAGATGATAAGAAGAATAAGAAGAATGCGAGAATACAAAAGTGCCGCGTAACCGCGTAAGAACCACCAAGAGCACGCGTTAATATCGAAATGCGCCACCGTCTAGGGGGTGGGAGGGAGGTTGAAGTACGTTTTCAGAAAAACGCATTTAAAGTTCGTGGCGCCGTTTCTCGCTGGGTTGGAGTCGGTCTAAGGACCTCCTCCGGCTGAAGAGTAATAACTTCCGGATTAACTTTAAGTGGAGAAGTTGCACGGTGTTGCTTCTACTGGCAGAGTCGTACACGTACACGTCTGTCGCGGTTCTACACGCGTGCAACGAACGACTCTCTCTCTCTCTCTCTCTCCTTCTCTCTCTATGCGTTTCGTAAGATGAGGCAGGAGAGTTTGACGTCAATTTAACTCGTTTCGCGGAATCGATCGAGGAGATCACCAGCTTGCCTGATCGTAATCACCGTTCCCTCCCTTGGCGTATGTTCGTCTTTCTCTTTTTCTCTCGCTCTCTATCTCTCTTTTGACAGTTATCTATATCCCTTTTTGCTTCTTCCTTCTTCGCGAATCGATCGCAGACTTCGCAGCGACTATTTTTCTTTCCTCTCAAAAGTACGTTCTCGCGAAACCGGGAAAATTTTCGTGCAACAGTATATACGTATGTGTATACAATACATACATAGATACATTAGTCGTTAAACATCGAATGGATATCGCCAACAGTGTACCAGCGAAGACGAATTTTCACGTACGAAAATATCTTTAACTTGGATATCGACTCGGATAGCTCGTTTAATTTCCAGACTAGACCGGATATTTTCCCGAGTTGATCATTCCGCATTCCACTTTCTCAAGTCAGTACGAGAACTGGACGGTTTTAATCTACGAGGCGGATCAGCCTTCGGCCGGCTATCGGAATAAATTATCATCTTTGCCATCATTTAGCGTTCCGTCGCGGCGTTTAGACGACTTCGGTTGACTCCGTTTTTCAGAAACGTCGGATCTCTGGTGCATTGCTCGCGAGAAACGTTTCCGTTCGATGCCGAAAATCGAGAATCAACGGCGCGAGCTTTTCACAATGCCGAGTTCGTTCGGAAACGATCGTAACTCACGCGTAACTCGGACCGCTTTAATTTTTCTTTTCGTTTGATCCCTCGTTACATATGTACATCTTTCCGCAATAACCGATCCCGTTTGTTACGTCTAACCTGCTCTTTCCTCTAACACCGAGGGCTTCGTTCCTCGCGCGGGATGCAACGACTATCATAAAAATTCACACGCATGTACATACTCTCGCTTGAAACACGTACCGCTAATTGTAAGTGTCTCTGGGTCTACCTTTCGCTGTGTTTCGCTCCGAAAGTGATCCTTTGTTAATGCGATCTCCCGTGAATAATGAGACTTTGTTTCCGTCATTAACGTGTTGCTTGGCACTGTATTGTGAATAAGAGCTGTGTTACCTTTGGTTGTGTTTACACGATCGCCAATCGGCATCGTTTCTCGGTTAAATTCGAAATCACGATTATTCAAAACTCTGTGTGCCAATTAACGCGTTTCTTTTGACACTCTCTTCAACATCGTATCTAGAGGTAAGCAAAATGGAGCAAGCATATCCGAAACAAAAAAACCTAAATCAATTAGTTCACTGTAACTTTACTTGAAACTGATACCTTCCTCTTTTCTGGCGTTTGTTACACGTTTTGCCACTCTCTTTTAACTCATCTCTGCAGCTACAGTGGTGTGGAATTATCAACACGCTCTCTCTTCCTCTTCGCCTCAATTAATTAGCCATTTCCCTTCGTACTAAATTTATCTTCAGCGATTTATTAATGTCTATCTGTTCGCGATATATATACAATTAACGCAATTATAACTACTCGAGCGAATATATTGAACAAATTTCACTTTGGGCATTCAATTTTGACTGAATAATCGACGCAAAGTGTCAAGCTCAAAATAATCCGATCGTTAAAAACTGGAGATCTGGAATTTATTCTTTGCTTCTTTATTCTTTGCTTTCTCGGGAACGTGCGTGCACGTGAGATTGTCCCAGAAAATCAACGACTCCTCGTCGAGGAAAGAAACGCAACCCTCCTCGCAACCTCGGTCCAACAAAATGGAGGGGTCGTCTAATCCACGCGCCATGTTGAGGAGCATTGATCGCGGATTAACGGCGATGGGTTACGGACAAAGCTGGAAACTAGCGTCGAAACGGCGGATTGACGGTTGTACAGGCCGGTTAGAAACAGATTTATCAGGGGGTGTGCCGGGCACGTACGAGATTACGATTTAAGTGAAACCAGGACGGGATGGGAGGAGTGAGGGTGGGCTTTGCCCGGGACGATTAATGAAATTGAACGGCCGAGTTCCGCTGCGAAACTCCGTCTACGGAATTAATGACGCGCGCTGCGCGTAACCGTGGAAATGTTCATTACACACCCGCGTTGAGAAATGACGCGGCTGGTTTGGCTAGATTTTCAACTCTTAATCTGCCGCGGTAGGAGTCGGCGAGCAATTAGATCGGGAAAGAATGACCAATTTGCTTGGGCTTCAGCGTGAGAATTAGCTGCGTTTTATGTGTCGCCGTCAAAGGCGTGGCGTTCGAAATCACTGTAATCAACAGAGAGTCGCGATCGATCGGTCATTACGATCTCTCTTTTACTGTTGCTGGCTTGGTTTCTTTTTTCTTGCGATGATTTATATTTACAGTAGATTTGCATAACCAACCTGTTAACTGTTTTCGCTCTAATTACTTGATAACGCTTGATGACTGAGATACGATATCATAGACACACGATACATAAGCGCGTTGGAACGAAACAGAGATGTCATCGTCAGCTTTCTGTTAGTCGAACGTCGGTGATATACATACGTATACTTATCCCTTCAACAATCGCGACACTTGAATTTGAAATTAAATTTTAACAAACTTCGTGTATAATTAAAACGCTTCCAACAGATTGAGAG